CCATATCCAGAGCTTTTCAAAAAGATGGATTATTCTAATATTCTATTTCCCATCTCTGCCTGTCAAATTAAGAGCAAACAAACAAAAAAAGTCTAGACTCCAAACTGCCTATCTTTAAACAGCTTCCTAAGGCATTTTCTTTGAAGAAAATTCTTGCATTCTCCTGTCTTGGATCGAAAATTTTAATACACTTTTCTTTCCATTTTCTATGATACTATGATTACATAATGATATAGTAATATCATTATATAATCCATTATAATAGTCTGATACTAGTCTGATCATAATACTGATATACTATGATACAATGATAAATGATACTATTTCTATGATAGGCTACACAGATTTCTCTGTAAAGCAACAAACATAACACTACTTTAACATTTTAACACTGTAATTCATTTGTCTTCTCCTGTCCACATGAAAAACAATTCAAAAGACATTTTTCAATGAATTGGTATATTCCTTTTCAATGCAACCATGACTGAATAAATAGATGCAAAACTCAAATTTAAATGATATATCTTGCACAAACCTCTTTGGTGAGAGGTCAGACTGAGCAATGCGGGGTTGAAGGTAAGGCAAAGAGACATCAACAGATACTGAGCGTTGATTCCATCTGGTTCTGCAGATGGGCACTGATCCACCTACCCCCAATAACAAACCACAAAATTCAACACATCAGATAACAAAACATATATATATATATTTATATAGGGTTACATGATGCTAGTGCCCCAAGCTACTGCTGGCCATGAAGCAAAGCATGCTACACATCTTCAAAAGAGGCAAAGAAACCCACAGAAAATGCGTGGCACCCGTTTAGCTCAGGCTTTGTGATAATACCAAGGGAACAACCCGAAAGAGGAGAGTTCAGATCTATGACTGACACGCTGATATTTTAGCTAGGAGGTAACCCAGTCCACAAGTCCTCACATGTCCCTCACCTTCACAAAGCTCACTGTTTTTTTTTTCCCCCCTTTAAATAACCAGTTGGCAGCAAAATTGGAAGGGCACTGACCCCCTCCCTTATCCACTAAGCAATCAGTTATACAGCACCTTGTCTTTGGTGCTATGTCTATCAGACCTATTGCAAAAGAGGGGAATAAAGACTTCACAAGAGTTATTTATACTTTTCCACCTTAAATACTGTATATAAAAACATTATGCTTTTCAGGATCTATCAGCTCATTGTTTTTCTGAGTAGTTTTCCTGGCAGTTCCAAAGGGAACATTTTTCTTACTATAGGCTAGGTAAAAAAAAAAAAAAAAAAAGCAGGAGATCTATTCAAGGAAGGTGCATCTTCAATATCATTTTTCCTTCACAAGTAGCAAAGAACACTGGCTTGCACAAGAAACACAGCTTGAACAAGAACCCTGCAGTCTGATGTGAAGAACCAACAGGGATGTGCCTATGGAAAAGCACCACTGTGGCTTGAACGGGGTAATTAGGTACTCATTAGAAAATCATAGCATAAAAGTGCTTTAATAGTCTGTCAGATAGGAACAGTTTTGAGATTTTAGAGTGTAAATTGCAACAAGACAAACATGCAAAGAGTTTGTATCCAGGTCTCAAAGATTAAGTCAGTAACTTCCAACGTAAATTAAATTAGTTCTGACGTAATGATAGCACAGGAAAAGTTACAGGAGAAAAAAAAAAAGAAAAAAAAAGAAAGAAAGAAACCATAAAATATGGCAATATGGCAAGAGTAGAGAAGTATTTTAAGTCTCAGATAAGTCCAAGCTTCATTACATTTTGGATTCCATTTTGTCTTTGCATTGCTTGGATTTCTGGTAAGTAACTGGGTAAGTAGGACAGAACTATTACTACAGATGACTATGAAATCAAAGGGGACAAACACAATAAATCTAAATTAATGTGGTACAAGAACATTACAGAAAAAAAAGTTAATTTTCATGCACACTGTTTCAGTATAGTTCTAAGTATCCCTTCCCCTCACTGCACTTCCTTCCCTTCCATGCTTACCTGTACACTTACGTGTTTTGCATCAAATACTCCTTCCACCCCTAAAAAACCATGAAAAGATTCACAAAGTTTGAATAACACATATATGCTTAAAAATATGAAAAACACCACCTCTGTTTCACGAAGAAACAAAAAAAAGCAAATCCCTGGTATAAACAAGACTCAAGAAAGATCATCTAATTTAAAGCACAGTTTTCACCTCTGTAATTCCCTGGCCAAAGTGGGGGCCTCCCCAGCACACGCTCCCCGCCATGGCCTTCAGGACGTAGGCTGAAAAAGGTTTATTAGCAACTCACACAAGATGGTTTCAGCTGGTTCTTTGTTGCCTATCTCCAAAAATAATTCTCTTGCATGATCAAGATGCATAGCTACAATTCAGATGAACATTTCAGCCCAATCCCCATTATGCCTATTGCCAGAATGTGCTGTAGTTTAATTTTTATGCTAAACTTTGCAGCTGGTGATACTTAATCTAAGCCCCCACAATATAGTTTGCTGCCTCCAGCTCTCATCTAAGCTTCCCTCATTTGCTCAGTCAACACAAATCTCTCCTCAGGTTTTTGTGAGTCTTCCACCATAAGCTTGACACAGCTGACTGTATTTGGAAAGCCCTGTGATCCCTCTTTCCTGTCCAACTGCTGTGTTGAAAAGGGTGCCCTCTAAGATCCTTTTGTAGCCCAGTAAACAAAATCTCTTTCACAATCATCAGCCTCATTCTTAAAAACAAATGTAGCTTGTGATTGGACATACAGCCTCACTCTTCCTTTAATTGCATTATTTTTTCTGTCCCAAGATAGCAAGCTATTTGGCTGATGTCTAGATCAGGAGCACAAAAGTTCTCAGTCTCTGCACTCTTAGAATCACATAATATCAGACTCGCTTTTTATTTTACAGTCTCTGATTTATCTGTCTGCTCTGTTGGAAGACATTCCTTCACACAAGGCTAGCCTGAAAAGTCATCTAAGAAGTCTGTAACACAGACACAGAATTGCTTTTATTATTCCAATAATTTTCCAAACTTTGAGGGGTCTCAATACTTTTTARTCAAATCTTATATAAAAATACTAGTATGTCTTGGAAGAGAGTTACACCGGAGCTCTTTAGCTAGGTGTAACAAAAATATTTCTTCAACTTAGAACTTTTTCTTTAAGATACACAGCTTATTTTGATTAGTTTTGACYGGCAGATTAGTAAGCAACAAGCAACACGTTCAGTAGTTTCCCCTAAACTTTGCTGAAGCTTGTGTCAACGTGGTAATCTGGAAGGTCCTCACAAGAGGACAGCAGTCTTTCTGATTCCATTACCCACTACGAAATTGCACTAAGAATCTTTACATTCACAAGTGCCTTTCACTGCCTTCTGTTTTATATTCTCACATGCACAGAGGCCAAGACCCTGGGGAAGCCAAAGGCCCCGAGACACCTGGCCTGCAGTCACAGGAGCACTGCTTCTAAAGAAGCTCCAAAGGAGCACTGCTTCCAAGCAGCTTCTTCCCCCTCCTTGTTAGGGACACACACCAATTCACAGAAGAGTGACTTGACTAAAGCCTACTTTTCATTTGATCATTGCTCACTTTTACAACAACTCTTAGGCGAAAATTAACAAAGTGTAGTATTAAAAGTTTTTTAAAACATATGGGTATTTCTGTTCGTTTTTTTATGGTATTTCCCTTCTCCAACCCCAACTAAACTGGGCTTCAGTAAGGGCAAGCTAAAAGAATGCAAGCAAGGTACTACTTCAGTAGCATCTGATGATTAAAACAGTATTTCATAATAGCTCTCTAAAATGTATTTTAACTTGTTATTTATTGAAAATTAGCCCAAATCATAATTTGAATGTGTATATGTACACATTTCTCCTATGTAATTACCACAAGCACTRTACACGTTTAGCCAGATATAACATGGAAGAAATCACAAACTGAGAGACATAGAAACGTAACAGTAAGCAGCCTGGCAAGGCTCACCTCACATATATATAAAATCATACAGGGCGATCAAATGCAATTTCAAGTGATTTTGCCCTTACTAAGRTAGAAGCTCACTGCTCAAATCAGTGCAGGAACTACGTGTACTATTATGATTTGGTCTAATTTTCACACAGCAAAGCAGTACTCCTGCTAGGGCTTTATTAGGCTATTTGAATATTGATATATTCCCCAATATAATTGTTTTAACTTACAATCTTTAAAGCTGAAAAGACAAGAACACGTACCCAGCTAGGGCCTGCTGTAACTCCGTTGATACTGTCTCTGTTACTTGGAACTGATTTTCTATGAAAACAAATTAGTCGGGAGAAAAATTTCAAGGAGAGCTGCAATATCGCTATCTAATCACGTATCTTATATTCCAGCCGATATCCTACACGCACACCGCAGCAAAGTCCCAAAAGACATTGTTATGCTGGATGCACCACCTTTCAAATCACACAATACACTAAGGCTCCCGCTAGGGATATCGTTAGTGAGGAAATGATTTTTTCCCCCCCTCACAACAAAAACACGGAGCTAGAACATTTTACTACAACATGTAACTAATACAAATTATTCTCCTAGAACTTCAGATTGTTGAAACCTTTATTTAAATGAGATTGTTCGRGTAAGTTAAAAAGTATTTTTAAAAATGCAATAGATTTTGCACGCAAATTCACTATGGGCTATTACAACAGATTGTTATACAAAAATGCTTCTCATAATYGGCTACCATTAAGATCCTGAAGTAGAGAAAGTGATTAGCTGAGCACCTGCAAGCAGATTGGGCAGAGCACAACCACAAGCTGACGGCTCCGRTCTCCTCTGCAGGTGCAGATTTATCCCATTTTAGAAAGCAGTCCAGGCTACATAAGCAACGGTGAAATCAGAAAGGGAAGCCACATGTGTTTCTTTCTCCAACCTAGAAACACACCAATGAGTCCAAAAACCAAGGGACACGGTAACCGTTGGAGCTTGGTTTGTTGGTGTGGTCACACACAGTATATACCCTTATAGCTAAACCGGGACAACAAGACCTAATTACCTCATTTTAAGTAAAAGTTAACCATAACACTGTTCCACAGAGCACATCCCAACGCACAAGTCTCGGCCAAGGCCACGGRGAAAGCAGCCGCACGCGGGGGCCGCCGCAGCCTTCGGCGCTCAACGGCCTTCTCCCTCTCACACCCGGGCGTGCCAGCTCAGGGGCAGCACGGACCGTTTACTCCGGCCGTTTGCAGTGGCTCAGAGCCRAACGGCCGAACGGCGCGGGCGGGCACCACAAACGGCAGCTCCGAACAACGGGCCGGGCACGCGCGCTCCRCTCCAACCCCCGCGGCGCGACCGTTGGGGCGGGGCGCCCCAGCCCCCCTCACCGCCACGCGCCGCTTCCGCCTCGCCGAAAACGCCGCGCTCCCGTGGGCTGCGCCGCAGCCAATGAGAGGCGCGCGCGGCTGCTGCCGTCAGCGAGCCRCCGCCTCGTCCCGCCCCCGCGCCGCTGCTCCGCCCAATGAGGAGGGCGCGCTGCGCGGCGGCGCTTCCGCCCGGCCGGCGCGCCGCGGAAGTGTGATGTGGCGGGCAGCGCGTCGCCATGGTAAGGCTGCGGGCCGGGCGCGCGGGCGGGCGCCTGGGAGCCCCCGCCGGGGTGGGCGCTACCCCTCCCCCCCAGCTAACGGGCGCGCTCTGCCGTTACCGGCGCCGCCGCCTTAACGGCCAGGCCGCGTCCCGGCCGCGCGTTTCGGGGCGGAGCTGCGAGGCGCCGGGCCCGTTTGCCCGGGGAGGAGGCGGCTTGAGGCGCGGGCCGGGGCCTGGAGCCGGGCCCTGCTGGCACCTGCGCCCCGCGATCCCACCTGCCTCCTTGGGAGACAGCCCAGGGAATTGTGTTTGGGGCCCAGTCATGACATAGTCATTCTGCTCAGGCAAAGGTGCTCCTACGAGCAGTGCAGCTTCGTGATTTTAAGATTAAAAGTGAAAACAAATAARTAGCCTAAATAAGCCAAGAAAGCCTTTCCCTCTACATGTGAAAGGTTTCACTTATTTTGCTCTTCAACACAGAATTCATTTTAAAAATAGCAATTTCCCTCTTTTAGGACGAGTTATTCACCCCCAGTGACGCACTTCCAGGGAACCCCTTTGCACTTACCGCAGGTGTATCGAGATCAGCATGTCCTGAGCTGGCTGATGGGTCAGTTCCAGAAAGTTTCCAGAGGAAGGGCAGATRAAAAAAACCTGCAGTCTTGCAGAGTAGAGCTTTCTTCAGGAAAGCCGTTCCCCTCCTGCTATGTCCCAGAGCTTGGGCTGTCCATGGTGCTACCTCTGGTGCCACGAGACTGCAGAAAATAAGTTATCAGCTTGAGCGGTTGGCTGTCGTGAGCAGGAGTTAATGGAAGCTGATGAAAATCTTTTGCTAGTTGCAAGGTCAGCTGCTGCCAGCCAAACACAGCATATAGAAGCAATGCTCTCACAAAAGGAAAGAGAGACGGAAAGTGCAACTGTTGGATAGAAGAAAAATATTTAAACTTAAACTATTTTGGAAAGGAGGTACAAGCTGCTCAACAGATTAAAAACTTATTGGAAGTGGAATGCATGCAGTATAATAGCATGGCTATTTTTACTTAAGAAACACAGAAGAAAAAAAAAATACCCAGCAATTTAGTTTTAAGCCGAAAATGTCGTTTACTACCTTTCAAAAATTCCTTGTCAATTTAATCCATTAACTATTGGAATTTATATCCAAAAGTGTTATAGAGCTTTTCCTGCTGGCATTGAAAATTGTACCATACATGGTGTGGGTGGGAAGAAGACTAAACTAACTCTTTGTAAAAATTAAACCTGAAAAGGTTTACMCTTAGAACAGATTTTTAGGCAAATTTCTAACAGAAGTGGCAAAAGTTCTACAACTTGGTATTTATGTTGATTTGGAGAACACTGAGTAATGGATGTAGAGCACTTGCTCCAGAAAGTGCTGTTCTTTTCTTGCTACTCTGGATAACATATATAGAATATAGAAACTAGTTTCAGCCTCTAAAAAAGAGAATTACAGAAATAGCTCCTATTATGTAATGGGAGAAAAGAGGGAAAATAATGCCTGTAAAATTGCAAACTGTAAGTAATTGGAGAAGACTTGGAGGAAAAGAAAGGTTTTTACCATGCATCTAACATAAATCTGAATTTATTGAATAAAGACATGCACATAGAAACCCAAGTGTTCCATTAACCCACATGAGCAAAAATAGAGGGTTTTCTTTGCTGKTTTTTYTTTTTTCTTTCTTTAGGGCTGAGGAGGAGGGAGGGTAACACTGCATCTGCTATTTGTTTATACTAAGAAAGAACTTGTGAAGCTATTGCATAGGTATCAGGGCAAAAAATAAAGAATGCAAGTAAGCGTGGAATTTCAGCACTGTCACACTGAAGTCATTTTAGTGCTATTTTAAATTACACTAAGAATTGTTTTACAGTTGAGAGTTTGGGCCAAACGCAACAACTGTTTAATTTTGTTAATGAGTTGTCTCATTGTTTAAAAAGATTGGTTATAATTTAAACGGATGAATTAGTCTTCAGCTGACTGAAAAGTATACCCATAAGTTCCTCTGCACTGTAATTGGACAACATGTTTCTTCAATAACTGTCTAGAGGAAAGATGTGCTGTTTGTCTAACCTAATTGTCTATGAATGTAAAAAATGTATGTTAGACAGAACCGCCATACCCTGGAAGAGATGTGAATGAGTGCTAAGTATTGTAGCTAAATTCCTTGGAAACTAAATACTGGGGCGAATGTGCAGTAAACATAAACCCTATTCATACTGGAGCAACCAAATGTGCGAACTAGACCAGTATTTATATACTTCTTATTAACAAACCAGTATTGTTTTAACAACCCTCTCTCAGTTCTCCAGGGTAGTTTTGCCAAGTGATCTCATCAAATTTAATTGATATGCAAGCTTATAGTTCAAATTAGCATGCTGCTTTGACTAATGCTCATTTTCTATTCATTTCTGAGATTCTGATCAACAGGAGAGGAAAAACAAATTATTTCAGAATTTCCTAGAAAAAAAGGTAATTTAGCAGTTACTTAGATCTTCAGCTTGGGAGTAATCCTACGTATTTTATTTCCTGTTAGTTTTTTCAACTTTATAGTCCTCTACATCATTTCCTGTTACTGTGTTGTAGCAGACATGCTGATCTAGTCTTCCTGAAGCTACTAGTGATCTGGAGACCATTTCATTCCTTGGAATTCCCTATTTTGTCCCAAGGTTTTGATAGGCCTCATTGTCCTCTTTGCTGGCTGCTACAAAGTTTAGGTGAGGCACCAAGTGCGAACCATTCAAATGTCTCAAGCTATAATGTTGCTCTTCTAACTGCCATGTAGTAACATGCCAATACTGCCAGTCTGAACTCAAGAGCTTTCAAGCATATTTATTCTGTTTCTTTCTGTGGATTATGTAGAATTATTTTTAATGTAACTGCTCAGGATGACATAAGGGAAATAGTATTGAAGCATTTTTTAATTTGTAATTTTGGGGATAATTTTAAAGTACCTTCAAAGAGTCTTCAGCCAGGTAGCTATTAACGTTAGAATGCATGGTCTTAAATTTATAGAGATAAACGAAAGGACAACTGGCTCTGGAGAGCTCTGCTGAGTACAAGACCTCCACGGCGCTTCAGGTGATGTGACAGTGTTCCACAAATAGCTGCAGGCAGTATCTGGAGGGGAAGAAGAAAAAAGTATAATTAAGAACATAAACTATACTAATAAGGTGTGGAAAATCCAAGCATATCTAGTGAAAGCCACCATTTTCACTAACTGCCTAAAATCAGAATAGCATCCTAGTGCCTCTTGTTTGCTGTATTTGCAGTTGAAATCGTAGGAAGGTAGTTGTCTTTGCACCACCATGTAGGTAAAGACTAAAAGGCAACATCCCTGGATTATTTTTACAAAAGGAATTAGACTCACAGAATCTACATAGAGCTGGTTAGGACATTCTGAAAAATTCCAGAAGGTTACGTCTAGATGGAGGAGCCTAGTTTAACCAAAAGATGCAGGTAACCCACCTGCATTACTAACTGCATTTTAGAAATACTGCATTACCGTATTAAGCTACACGTGAAAAAGATCCCAAGAAACATATGACATAAAAGCTCTTACAGCTTTTAATTAAAAGTTCTATAAACTTAGCTGCGCTATAAAAATTATTTCAGATGCGAAATTTGAAGCAACCCACTGCAGGAATTATTTTCAGGTTAAAATCGTAAACATTTTTTAATATGTGTTCCTGTCCTTTTAAGGTGATTTCATGAGCAATTCAAAGCACTTTTCWGGGGAATCCTTAGGCGTATATAACTACAGCAATGTCCTGAGCTGTGTATCTGGCCTCCACATAAAAAGTCCAGCACAGAGCTGCGTGTTATGTGGTACCCCTGTTGACTGACCAGTAACGCCTTTGCGGAGCGGGCGCTCGCGGCGGACGGGGCCTCAGTGCCGTGTGTGCGTGAGCTGCCCGCGAGCGCTCCCGTGCCGGGAAGCAGCTGCAGGAGCTCGCGGGAAGGGCGCTCCCATGGGAAGGGCCCTCCGACAGGCCCCGCACCCGGCCCGCTTGAGTGCAGCTGCTGCTCCCCAAGGACAGATTCAGTTCATCTGTTGATAGCGAGTAGCTCGTGTTGCCAAGGGGCTGCCACTCTTGGATCACGGAATCACAGGATCCAGCCCTTTAAGTTCCTAGAGTTGCAGGAGCTTGGCGATGCTGCTCCTGAGCGGTGGCAGGACTCAGGTTTGTGCAGAATTTGAGAGTTCCCTGGTTTTGGAAGTTGCAAAAACCTGTGCCTCCTGCGAAGGCCAGAGGCCCCTGCCACTGAGAGGCACCGTTCAGTCCATTGCAATTTGCTCTAGAGGGGACAACAGCTTAGCTAGCTMAACTAAAATAGTAATGATTTAGCTAAAGGCTTGGGGCAAGAAGCCTGTGATTTTTGTGTTGTTGTTTTGCTTAATTTTTTTAGGAAAAAGTCATTCTTAGATCTTCTAAAGCTACAGGAAGAAAGTGCCCACCACAGCCCTACAGAGGAGCTTCTCTGCTCCTAGTCCTAGTTCTCTGCTAGGAGAAGGGAACTGCAATATAACATCCTTTCATAACTGTGAAACATCTACACTTAATTAAATAGTCCTACATAACAAAGCCATCTGGATTGAGCCGTCGGAAAAATGAGGTATTTAAATAGGAATTCATCAGCAATACAGAATCCCAGAAAGAAGAGTGAATTTATTCCATTTGCTTTGCCTTTTTTGGAATTAAAATAAATAGAAGCTGAAAAATCAGAGTAATTGCATAAAGAGAAAATAAAGCATTTCCAATGAGCACTTGTCTAATGTTATGCTATTACATTCAGCATAATACCTGCTGTTCTAAGTTGGGGAACACTAAATAGAAAACACTAAAGCTACAGTTTGTGAAGCTGAATCCACTTCATATTTAGAAAGGAACTTTAGTCTCAGATTTGGACTAGTTATTAGAAACTAGGAATTGCAAAGTCAAGTTGACCAATATTTCCTCTAAAAATTTCAATGAACCTAATGAGGGAAAAAAAAAGAAAGAAAATAAAAAGAAAAAAGACCACAGAGGTTACTCCTGTGTTGTTAATTGGAGCCAAGATGCAGAAAAAGAGCTCAGCTGACTTTTCCAAAGTTTGCACTAGGTTTTGGAGATAACAGCAGTCCTTAAGTGATGACCTGCTCTTATGTTTACACTTGCAGAAAATGGAAGCAGTAGTTCACGTAGAGCAGTAGTAGTTGCTTATAGCTTGATGACTAAAAAACATGCAAGCCACACAAATCTCACACTTCAGTAAAGTGAAATAATGCCATGAGATGAATTAAAATACCACTTAACATTTTGTGAAAGTTTTGGAAATAGCCAGATACAGTAGTGCATTCTCRAGAACTGTTCATGTTTATACACATGTAGCTTTCAAACATTAGTTCTCTACTTCTCTATTTGTCCAGCATTTCTTAYATAAGTAGCAGCTGGAAGAAACTGTATTTATATCAAAGAGTATTTTAAATTAAAGAAAAAAAAAAAAAAAGAAATCGATTGTCTTCCTGTAGCTTGGGGGGCGGGATTCATTGCATATATTCCTACGAATCTACCAAATTTTGGCTGTTCTCTTTATAAAGCAATATACTTATAGTCCTCGTACGTATTTCTTGACATTTGGTCTTGCCTCTGCTTGAGTTGTCAAGTGTTCTTCCCCTCCACCTTCAGCACAACCATATTCTAGTGATGCAGCTTGCAGCTACATTTGCTCTTGGCAGAGCAGAAACATCTGTTTTCTGTAACTCTTAGCCTGCTGCTAATGGGCTTCCACAACGTGGCCTTGGAAAAGGTGCCTAGGAGGCAGAGTTGCAAGGTGATCATTGTGCCTGCTATTTCTTTACCTTTCTTGGGATAGAGGGAAAAGCTCAAATTCATTCTTGCACCATTCTGGGCAAAATAGYATCTGTTTAAAGAGTGTTGGCTCACTGGCAGTGAAGGATTTTTTTCTGCTTTAATAGGTATTGTCAAAAGTATCACTTATTTTCTCTATTTAAYGCAGTAAGGGAGACTTTGTACTGCAAAAGTTAATTTTTTTTTTCTCATTTTCTTCCTTAGTCTGCCATCTTCAACTTTCAGAGCCTCCTGACTGTAATCTTGCTGCTAATATGTACCTGTGCCTATATCAGATCTTTGGCTCCCAGCATACTGGACAAAAATAAAACTGGGTATGTTGTATGATGCTTTCAAAGTACATGAACTGTTTGGTATTAACTAGTGTTCTAGTATCTTTTAAGAATGTAAGACTATCCTAAGACTTGAAAWATTAAGTCCATTATTTTGTATTTGTCTCATATTCAGAACAACTTTCTCTCACATTTATTTCTGTTCAGAGAAAAAATCTTCCTTTTTGCCTTCTTGTAGAAGTTAAGGTATTTGTAAATAATTATTGCAATTTTATAGTAAGGATTAACTAAGATACAACAGTAAGAAACAACACGCCAGCTCATATAGCGTTACTAGAGTTCTTTCTCTAGACTTGCAACTTACTTTCCCCATTAGATTCTTATTTGAAGATTCAGAATAAATATCAAAAAAGAAACAATTTTTCTCTCTCTACAGCTCTGACTAGAGTTATTCTTGATTCTTAAGATTGAAGTATGAAAAAATTAACAGTAGAGGCCATTTTATTCTATTTGTGTTGGATACAGAAGTTTGAATCAGGATTTCAACAATAATATAAAATTAAAAAAAACTTGTAAATACTTCCTAAAATACGCAGCACATGCGACACTATCCTTATTTYTATAGTCTTTTTGTAAATTCATTGTTTTGCATTCTCCAAGATTCAGGAATTTATTAAAAAAAAAAACTTTAAAAGCATCTTTTCACTGTAACTACCTCAAGGACATTTATTCTTATTTTTATTCCATTTTSTCTAGGAGATTGATTTTCTTCTCCTCTGCATTCCCAGTTTCTTTGCCATATGGTTAATGTAAAGTGTAATATTGCTGCAAAAAAAGCAAACTGAATCTTCTTTGGCTTGCTCAGCAGCGGAATTTGGGGAATTTTGGTGAATGAGGAGATTCACAGGACCACATCTGTACCTTCCTTATCTTTAAAAATTCACTCACCTTTTGGCTTATCAATTTTCTTTGTGCTAATAAGAATTACTTGGCCTTGAATCCAAGGAGCAGGAGGCCAGACTAACTTAAATGCTTTGTTTTTAAAGTAATGATTGGGCTTTAGAACRTTAATCTAGAAATGATGGCCTAGATGACCACTAAGGCCATCCATAGTGGCTCACTCACCTGACATTAATGTAAAGGAAATGACATTTATAAAAGCAATGGGTAATTTAAAACTGGAAGAGACAGACAAGCTTTTAGCCTTTAGGTCTTTGACTTATCTTCTTTTTTCTATCATATCATTTGCAGTTAAATGAAGTGTTACTTCCCTGAGCATCTCTTGTCATTTAAMATTATAGAATCTTTTGGTTGGGAAAGACTTCAASATTATCAAGTCCAACCACAAACCCATCACTGCCCTGCCTGCTAAACCCTGTCCCTAAGAGCCTCAGCTACCCCTTTCTTGAACACTGCCAGGGATGAGGACTCCACCAATTCTACATTTGCCTTCAAAAAAAGTTTTAAATGAACCCTTGTTCTACCCAGGACTTCTGATGATTTGTCTTGTAAAAATCTTCATGCAATTAATTTTTGGAATTGCCTTTTATCACTTTTTTTTTTTTTAGCTTGGGCCTTAAAATATGGATATTCTCCATGTGCTTGTTTTTTCATTTGGAGTACTGGCTTGAATATTTTTGTGTCCTTTTCTCATAAGGCCATAGGGTTACCATTGACATGAGAGATTTCTTTTGATCACAGTAAAGACGGGAAGAAGGGATGACTTCATTAAGGACTGTGGGTTTCTGGAGTTTTGTTTCTGGGTTTTTGGCTAATGGAAGATAACACGATAGTCAATGAGGTACACATAGTAAGGAGTAAGAATATTTATTTTACTGATTAAAATTTTAGTGCTGTTTTTGGCAAGGAATATTTCCTTTAATCTGCAGCTACTCTGTTTATTTTTGAGGGAAATCTGTCTCAAGTACAATAGAACTCTCTTCATAAAATGTTTTCAAAGGGCGCTGACACAGTGCAGGAGCCATTTGGGCATTTGAGCAGTATATTTGCACTTATATAGATGTTGGACATATTTTATTTTTGTTTTTTAAATAGATATGGATTCCTTTATCTCAGAGAACAAAACATGGCATGGAAGCACTCAACTTTGCTTGCTAAACAGTAGATACTTTTATAGAAGTCATACACAGTTAAAACCCCGTCCTCCTTGCTACCATATTCCTTGATTAAATGGAAATGTCTAGACAGACTGGATAAAATCTCACCACAAAGAAGATCTTACTCAATTATTCCTGCTCCAAATTAATAGCATAAAAAGTAGCAGTACAATATTTAAGTAACCGAAAGGGGAAACGATAAGAGTTATTAGCTACATTTCTAAGTATATAGTACATTCGATAAACTTAAATCTGTTGAGGTACTAAGAACCATGTTTCAGTTGGTTGTGAAGCTGTGTTGCAAAGTGATGTCACACACCCACATAGTGATATATTTCATCCCATGGACTTCTGCCAAAGTATTATGTATTTTCCTACTAAGCCAAACAGATTTCTAAACCTTCATTTTCCTTGAAGCGTCCTGAGTGTTTCCATGTGCTTTGWCCTGAGCAACAGCCTTTGAGCAGAGCAGGAGGAGATTTACAGTTTCATACTCGCTCTAGATGAGAAGACATACCACAACACAACTTTCTCCTCGCTGCTAACCAGCGAGGTGGGTTAGCTCACACGCAGCAGAGCTGCCTATGCATTGCAGCAGGGCATAGCTCACACGCCTATAGCAACTGCAGGGGCAGTGACCTGAGAATCACCTGGCAGCTCTATTTTGCAGCATTCGGGGACTTGCATGCAAAGATTAAAATCCTGTTAATCCTTCCGTGCTTTAATGGCTCCCCTCCACCATTTTTTTTGGCTGTATCTTTTTCCTCTAGGTAACTAATGCCACTTGCACAATCATCACTTCTAAATTAGTTCGGAAGAGTGGGAATAAATGGCAAGTTGCACATGTTTAAAGTTGTGCCAGAAAATTACAAGTTTCAAAGTCAGACTGACAGCGATCTGCCTGCATCAGAAGAACAAGGATGAAAGTGAATATAAATTCATAATTCGATATAAATTCAACATGAATTCATAAATTTATATTGAACATAAAGGGAGAACAAGCAACAGTAGGATTACTTGCTTAGGCTGTTCTACCCGTGAGAGCTTATGGATGCACCCAGAAGTTGTTCATAGCTGTTTTGAAGTTCCAAATCTCAATCTATTATTTTTTGCTCAGCTAGCAATTTGCACAAACAGATCTACTGGTCTATATCAACAGCAGGTAAAGCCTTTTAAGAAGGTTTACCTTTTTATTGCTACTTTTTATGTGGTTATAGGTTGGATGACTTATCAGACCTCATGTTGTCAGTGACTGGAAAATCCTAAGCTACTGACTGCAATAAGGGCAGCCGATGAAATCACATTCTCACTATTTTGTGAGGATCATCCCTTCCTCATGAAAAGGGGAAAAGTCAGCATTTCCACCAAGACTAAAGAGGTAGTTGATTTAATGACATTAGCAAAGACCTCTTGCATTCTGATTCCTGACCTTAGGAAATTTGGAGGCCACCTACCATGGCTGATGAAGCAAAGTGGCTTTTTATGAAGCGGTAAAGACCTGTGGTTTGTTTTCAAAATGCCACCTAGGCAGCTCCAAGATAACCGGGGAATGCCCTCTTCAGAAGATTTTAGTGGGCTAGGAACAAAGTGCAATAAGACAGTGAAGGAAGAAGAAAAAAAAAATAGACACCCGGCAAAATGGCAAAGAAAAAGCCTTGCCAAAACTCTGGGGGAAAGTGTATATGAATACCAAGTAGATGGGACTATGGAGCTAYATTTTGTTCTTTAAGATTTGTACATGAATACCCTTTTACTTGCATGCAACTTTTAAAAACACATAGATGTCCTTAGGTTATTTCATTGTAAAAGCCTCTTCTCCTGTAAAAGTGTGATTGTCTACAGACAGTAATCATCGTGGAGCGATATAAAAGCTATATGGTCTTCTGACTGTATAGAAATAATTTGAGTTTGAGGTCAAAAGATCTAAAACACAGAAACATTTTTTTCTTATAAACGCAAGTACTAGAACACTTCAGGCATTAATTAATCAACTAGAAATATGTCGGTCAAAAACCATATTATATTTTCAGAAAASCTCAGTCACCTGCTGCCTCTTGAAACTCTTGGTTCTGACCTGCCAACCTCCCATCTCCCTTTTTTTCAGAAACAAACTTTGAGAAATGAGAATGTAGCTTTTAAGAGCTGCCGTTCTTGCTCTTATGCAGCAGGAACTTGGCTATTCAACATCAGAGCCCTTGGAAAACAAATCTGTGATAACCAAAGGGAAGTGACTAGGTAGCAAGCGGTACACACTGCAGTGAGCTGAAACCATAAAAGAGCTCCGGCTACAAATATATTTAATAGCACAGAATTCCTAAAACAAAACGTGAGATATGCAGGCTGCTGAAGTACAGAGACACAAGCAGCCCAAACCTGCATGTCTGCCTTGAAACCAGGAGCAAACGTGCTCTAGCCAAGGCCCCAGAAGACAGGTAATGAGACCAGTGTGGAGGTGGGTTCAGAGCCTCCTGGAAAAGCACCTGGAGAGCTGCCAGAACCACAGGGCAGAGATGCAGCCCCACAAACAGCCAAGCTGCGTTCACTGCTGATCACAACATATGAGGAAAAGGAAAAAGCAACTTACTTGTGAACTATACAAATAGAAATGTTTTTCCTGCATTGCAACCAGGCATGCTACAAAAGAAACCATCCTGTAGACAAGCTCTCAACACAACTTTGACCACCATTTCAGCAGCTGATAAAATACMGGATTTTAATCCTAATAGACTCTAATATAGGATTGCTCCCTCCCAACACACACACACACACTCACACGTGCATCCTTTTTTAAAGTGTTCCCTATCACATTTCCTGTTCGCATTGAGTTGTCAAKATGCAATTACTGTAGCTAAAAAGAGAAATCATATGGCACACTTACTTATCCTTCCTTTAGATGAACCTTGAATACTTGAATGTTGCTTTTCCCCTTAGTTATTTTACATGAGAATGAACCCCTTGGGTGGGGGCAGGATTAGAGAGACTTCAGCAAGGTAACCGTTGGTAAAAAATAAAACCAGATCTGGAAAATTGTTTTATAACCTATTTCAACACAAGCAACACTTAAATACTTTCTAATCTACTAAAGGAAATGCAAAAGAGACACTAAAAAGCATTAAATTTAAAATACTCAGATTTACTGTCTCTTGTACCTGCAGAAAAACACTCTTTAAAATCTTGCATAAAAATTACAAATAGTTATTTCCCATTCCATTACTTTACTAGTTGTTTCCTATTGGCATAATTTTATACCTGGGCCACTGTACTGTAGAACATTGAACTATGGGTGTATTCTTTTCCATTTCCTATTTTTAAAGTAATATCATATAACATAATATAACACTGATTCTGTAAATGTACCTTTGTTGCTCTTGCATGCAAAAGCAAATGGTAGAAACAGCATTTGCCTATTTTTTTGGTTCGTAGCCTGTACCCTATAGAGGCATCTAGTGTTTTGTGATACTGAGAAGTATCAGTGCTGAGAAAGTTCTTTTTACTTGCCATGCTTGAAAGAAGAAGGAATTAAATGATTCAGTCAAAAATGACTTAGTTTTTTCTTAAATAAACAAGTTAATCTTTCTTTTTTTTTTTTTTTTAATCTTTACAGACTATTGGGCATATTCTGGAAATGCGCCAGGATTGGTAATTTTTTTCTCTTTTTTTGGAAACTATTAAGACTGATATTTTCTGTGTTGTGTTCACTTATTAGGATCATGCTGCTGTGTAGCAATGAGAGCCATACACGTGCATCATTTTAAAAAAAAATGCAAGTTTCACTTTCATGAAATCTGGAGAAGACAGAAAGGGGGTTTTTGCAGTGCTGCAGAAACCTGCATTTGTTTTTTAATGTTAGTTCACAACTGTGCAGCTACTATATAAGGATCTTTTGCACTTCTTACTGCATGCAAAARTTCTGTTTAATCACATTTTTTTCTCTCCTTTCTTTTCTTGTATCTGCTTTTAAATTACTTAGAGTTGTTGCTAGCAAGCAACATCTGTATGGAGTCTGACTACCTATATCTGATTTTAGACATTTTCCCATAACAGTCATATTTATTTTTATCCTTACTCTGAATTTATTTTTAAGTGGAAGAAGGAATATACAGTGAAGCTCAACCTTATCATTAAGGAATATCTCCGAAAAGATTTTAAAAATTAATAATCTATCCTAAAAACACTGTTCCCCCAATTGCTTGAACAGCAGCAACACGGTACTTGTAGTTTGTGATATTACTCTTTCTCTTTGAACCCGCAGGAGAGCACGTGGCTCCCTTTTCTGCATCTCAGGCTTTGAAAGAAAAGAGCTTTTCTTCTAGCACATCAAAGTACTGATGCAGAAAAGGACTGGTGCATTTTTTTGTTTCGCAGAAAACCTAGTAAAACGATTTCCCCAGTCTTGATAATAAAAATAGCAGAACCAAAATGTCAGTCTTCGTATTTTAATTGAAATATCTRGGCAAGGTGACAGCTGTCAGAAAAAAATCTGAGCTGCGTTTGGGTTTATTCAAAGATGAAGAGTTAAACTTCCCATCTTTTTACGCTTGCACTTTGCTAAGTATCTTTCCTTTTTACTATATACATTGTTTAAAAAGCTATTTAAAAGAGTATTTTATGAGGTCCCTGTCAGCTTGATGCAGTTAAAAAAAAAAAAGCAGTTCATCACACACACTGCCTCTAAGAACTGAGCTTCTAATCTACTAAGTTAGAGAAGTTGTGAGTTTTTGTTGGATCCAAGGTATCGTGCAATATTGTGCCCCATACTGAGCTTCATACTGAGCTTGTCCTTTCTTCATATAAAGCATTTTATTAATTTTGTTCCAGCTTGTTTGGAGTGATCTAATTTGATTTTCTTTCAGATTGTCTGACGAATGAGTCAGACTACGTATTTCCTTATAAAACAGCACAATGTCTTCAGTATAGGAAGTGGCCTTTGAAGATGATTTCTCTGATTTTATTTGGGTTAGAGTCAAAAGACATTCAGAAAAGTGCTGGCTTTTTAAAATGAGAATGCCTACTGGCTTCCTTTGCATTAACTTACCCAAGTGTGTTTAAACAACCTTTTCACATGCACATAAGACTTTAATAACCAGTGAGTGGTTACATATTTACGAAGTTGTGCAAAACGATGTTTAATCCTGCCACATGGTGATTTTTCTTTCAAGAAAATTAAGAGTAGGAAAGTAAAACCCATATGAAAATTGTAATACTCTCAACTGTAGGAGGTGGACTTCCTCAGAAATTTATTTTAAACAGATGTGAAACTACAGACATTAATTCACTCGGTTATTTGAAGTTTAATTAAATGTATGCCAGATGATGACAACATCTTGTAATGCCACTGCAGCAGGCACCCCTACTTATGGGAAGTGTCACTGCAAGAATTTTATTTTGCTTTTGCTGTGGAAAGTTTGTTACTCCTGTATTTTAGAGTCCTGCTAGTGAAAGAGCCTCTTTTTTCTGAGGATCACACCTTAATGCTGGAGTTGGGAGCCTTGGCAGTTTTCTTTTCTGTAATATTTTTCTGGAAACTGCATCCTGGACAAGGTAGTTCACAGTAAGATGGAAGGCTGCGCACAGCAAAAGGAAATTGAACTTTGTCTAAAGCAAACAGCTCCGATGCTGCCTTTATCCCTCCGGGTGCTCCACAGCAGGAATTGGCCTCCTTCAAGGAACCATCGCCGAGCTGACACTGCTGGGCAGTTTTGGAGGCTGGAAGCACCATCCCCTAAGAGGCAGGAACAGACCTTTCTTAAGTTCTGCATAAAAGGCATTTAAGTCTGTTAACTGAGTAAATTTAATTTTTATCCCTTGTCTAGTGGATAACTAAGCCCCTGAGCCATTTGGAAGGCAGAAATAATGTGTCTGTATAACCTTCTGTAATTCTGTAGCTTTTTTTTTTTTCTCCTTAATCACTAACCTGAAAATCTGAGGACCAGACTCTCTCTGCATGCTAGCAGGGTTATGTCTCTTCAGCAGTGAGGGCAGGCAGGCACCTGGGCAGGTCCCCAGGCTCTTAGTGGCTCCTAGCCGGGGCCATGCACGGGAGGCCCATGCTGCAGGCAGCAGCAGGCACGGCCAGGCAGCATCCAGCTCCACCTCTGCTCAGCTGACACGAAGAGCTTTCGAACAACCCCTGCCTGTAACAAACTGGGAACAGAGCCAGGAAACCAACTGGTGTCTTGATCAGTTTTCTGATGCCTGTCCCCTGACTCTCTTGGGGCCAAAGGATTTTAACGAAGCAGTATGTCCTGTCCTATATCTGAATTTTCCCACTCTCGTGCATCTAYTTCCCCAATCCACAGCCATAGCTGTAATCGGCTGTACGTGTTGCAGTGAGATAATAACCATGTTATGGCAAGGCCAGCCCAGAGCTGCTCCGTGGTGCCCAGGGCACAGGCTGTTGTGTTTTGCAGGACTGTTTTTCTCCCCACGCAGGTGAACGGAAGAGTCCGTACGTAGCTGTGTGCTGCGTGGTGATGGCCTTCAGCATCCTGTTCGTCCAGTAGCGTCTGGGGAACGTCTCCTACACTACCAAACACCAGAGAAGGGAAGGAACTTTGGGCAGAAAAGATAGAGCATCAGCGACTATTCTCTCRCAGGCTGGATGGCCTGTCCCTTAGCGGGCACCCTCAGCTCCTGCAAACGGTACAGTTTTAGCAATCATAATGTAACTAACTGCAGGATGAGGCGTGCTTATTAATGCCCAGTCAGGACTGACGCTGCTGGTGTGACTATTTAGAAGCTGTCTGATGCATATCTGAGTTCCAGGGGAGTTTGTTTGGTTTTCCTCCCTCAGTGTGCAGGTGTAAGAACGTTTAATGTTGATAAACTTATTTTCTCAAACTTAAAAATGGCAACTCTATATAGCAATAAGTCTGCTCTTAGAAAAAAACATCGTGATTGTAGGATGTGTTTACAGAAGTATTTTCAGTTCTTTACTGTCTAGAGAATTCCTGTCATTTTGTGAGAGGTAAATTTGAATAGTAAATATATCACTTCTGGCTTAAGTTACACTCAGCTGTCCTCTAAGCTTGTAACTGCTCAAATATTTTGTAATACTTTTGTTATTAAGATAAAATACAAATAAAGGTAGGGACCATAGCTGTAGTGATGTCTGACTACCTGCTAAGAATGCACACATTTGGAATTTGAGAACCTTGATCTGGATTGGTATTAATCACGTGTGCTCATTGTTAAAGACTTGTGTTTCAGGTAAAGCATTCCCCAGTTTCTTTCAATATTATGACTTACAGTTTCTAATGGCTCTGCTGTTGTTAATATATGTAATACAATTTCTTGATCATAGCCAATTTAGCAACCTCCTAAGTTCTRGTGCTCCAAAGGTCAAAGAAAACAATTGAATTAGATTACATTTACTGTTAATAAATATTGGATTACCTTTAAGACCTGCATTTAGTGTTTGCTGTATAATTTTGTAAACTTATCATAATTTAGTAACTTATTTTAATAGAGCCTGAAAGTACTGCTCACATCAGTTGTATAACTTCATTTTGATTGCATTTGAGGGAGTTGTTTGTTAACAATATTTTCTGGTGTTCTGAAAAAGTATGTGATCCGAGTGAGCTAAGCAGGCAATAAAACACACTAAAAGACAGGTGAAAGTTGTCATACTTGTTTAAAAAGACCTAAATCTTACAGACCTGAATTACATTGCACTTGCAAAGGAAGTGACTATTAGTTATCGTCTTTGTATTATACCATATATACTTGCACATCTAAATCACCACCAAGAGTTCCCTGCTGTCCAAAATCATTTGCTAATCTGGAGTGAAAACTTCTTTTCGCCATTTAAGCCTTATACCTCATCTGTCTTACTACCTGTGAAGAAAATCCTGTTTCCCCATGTTAAAAGCTTAAAGTCAGTGTGCAGAGACCTCATAGAGCCATGCCCCTTCATCACACAAGCCTACCAGTATCCGACAAAGGCATAAACATCATGAGATGGGGAGAGTGCAACACTGCATGCACACACACCTGATAAGGCTTTTACACCAAGCCATGCTTAAACTCTGAGATGAAGCTCATTTTCAAACAGCAACATTAGCATAGGCTCCCACAGAGTTACATCAGGAGAGGTATAACGGAAAGGATCTTGTCTTGTTCTCATATGCTCTGAGTCTCCGACTCTGTGGAAAAGGAGGTGAATGCTTATAGCAGGCTAGACTGGCAGATACACAAATTGCAGGATTTAACATAAATTGACACAGTAAAAAACGGATGTTACAAGAGGATGACAAAAAAACGTCCAAGGCGCAGGAATATATGACCTGCAGACACCGTGGCCTATATGAGGTGATGGAAAGTGAGCATCGTGAACCTGCACRTGGAGCCGTGTTTGCATATCGCAGCAGCACCTATTACTCAAGAATAATACTTCCACACTGGGAAGTATTCCTCTTGCCTAGAAAGCAGCCATAACATCACGGATGGGGCCCCTGTCAGTGTTAGGCAGCTTCTTTATCTATATTTGTTGCACATGTTGCACAAACACTGAGCGTGGCRTAGGCTGTGGTTTTAAGTACAGCTCAGTGTGAGGTTGAAAGGAATTAGATCAAGAACCTTGAGTCCTGTCATTTTTTTTTTCTCCCTAATAATGAGCAAGTGAGAGATTCCACATATAGTTGGCCAAGATAAGAGTATTCTGTTCAAGAAAAGGGTAATAAAGACTGCAAAAGCAGTGGGGAGGGGGAAAAAAAAATAAATAAAAGCGGAACATGACTGCAGTAGAGTGTGTCTAGGGAGGCCTGAAAAGCAGGTAGGTCCCAACCCAGTCATTTTGYTCAACTGGGGTCTGCTTGTGCTGAACTGTAGAATCAGTTGGGTAAGAAGTACAAGATGATTCAATAGATAAAATTATCTATTTTCTTTGTGAGTGGCTAAGATGATGAAGCCAAGGCTAAGATTTTGCTGACAACTGTGTAACTTTTTCAACCACTGATAATGCTAACAAGCTGAATGCAGGAACAGAAAMGGGCATTTCCCATTAAGAGAGCATGAATGGATCAAGATAAAGCTCAAAAACATCAGGTGCTCTCCTTTCTAGACGCTTCATGTAACTTAAGTGTTACATGAGCAGAAGGAAAGGGCAAGGACCCTACATCTTGTGCTGGGCACAAGACTGAGGATCTCACTATGCAGCATTTTGCTTTTGTGATTGTCACTCACATAGACTTCCCCAGGCAGTCTTAAAGATTAATTATGGGCAAGAGGAGTTTATCTACAAAGCACTTTGTTCTCAAGCACCTATGTGTTGCTGTTGCTTCAGTGAGGGCWTATAAAGCTAAATTTTGCCACAATTAGAAGTTTTCACTCTGAACAAAATGAGTGAAAAATGAATGAACGTTGYAGTGTTTGCTGCACACAAATCCACATTTACTGCTTAGCAATGCAATTAAGTATAAACTCATGTGACARGACCTGAAACATGATGTGTTGTTCTTCGGACAGAGGGAATTTTGTGCCCATTATGGATTTGTGGTATATTAACTTTCATCCACATCTGCACTCTAAATGACCTCAAAGCTCAAAGCAGGGATTTCAGAAGACTAAATTGAAAACCAGCAGTAGTCACGCCGGGAAACGCATGCGAATAAGCGACGGGATCACTGTACAGGTCTGATGCTCTGTACAGGCTGATAAGCCAAAGTGCAGGCGTAGGAAGTGTAGGAGGAAACCCAGAGCTGAGCTTAAGGATGACTCAAAGATTGCGTGGTCTTGGAGCAATGTCATTGTTTCACAAATGCCCTTTCTACCTYGGAACCACAGGAGCGGGCAGTGGRACTGTGCTGGAGCCAGGAGGTAAAGTTACACTGGGGTACATGAAACGATTGCCCTGTAGTGCTCTCAGTCTGCTGGAGAGATTTGCTGAGTAAAACAGTTCACGTTGCCTGCGAGGACAGCGTGTTGCTCACAAAGAAAGCAGCCTGCGCTCACTCTAAAGCCACAAGAAGCAAAGCGCCTGAAAGCTCTCATAGTTATGCTTCTGTTAGTGTTATTTTGACAAAACACAGGTATCAAGTCCTTTTAGTTTGCAGTTGACAATTTATCAGAAATACCACCAGTATTACCATCACCTTTAAGTGCAACAACTGATGCTGAACCTCAAGCACACCTGGACTTCCTGCATGCATCAGAGCCCCCCTTTTCCTTCTTTCCATGTCTCAGCAGCAGGTAGGGAATGACAACACAGATACTGTGAGGCCAGTTCTACCCCACCAACATTAGTTAGAAATTTGCAGTTGGATGCTAAGGGCAGAGCCATGGAGAAGGGTCATTATAATCTAGTCTTTCTTTCCCCCTTCTCCTTTTCTCCACAACATAGTCACAGTATGAAAAGATAAGTAACATCTTCATAATAGTTTAAAATACTAGGGATGATAGCAAAACATAAGCTAGGAAAGGCTATATTTAAGCCTTATCTCAGACTCCTGCAAATTCTTTACATTACCTACATAGAACTTAACCAGTTAAGGAAGGTTTTTCAGCTTTTTTTTTTTTTCTCCTGCTTTTGATCTTGTTTTACTCCAACATAATTATTAGTCATTCTAGTCACAGGCTACTAGTGCTTATAACATATTTTATAAGGTTCCTGTATGTTTCTACATGTATACATTGATATTTTCCTAGCAAGAACAGTACTTCTCCTTCACCTTGTATAACGCAATGCAGCCAGCGTGATGGCCATGGAAGACATACACAGACATTGAAAACGGATTGTGAAAATGTTTCCTGCTTGACTACAGTTCTTAAGTTTTAGAATTGTTTTTTCATGATACCCTAAGGTTATATAAGCAAAGTGGGTGGAGAAATAAAGTCATTTTGTGAAAGCAAAATGATGATTTTGTGAAAACAAACTTTTTTTTTCTCTCAAATGATCAATACCTGACCAGACATAATATCTTTCCTGAAAGCTTCTGTCTGAATTTCCCAACCTGTTGACTAATATACCACAGGTAATCTCCAATGAGCAACCTCTTGGTTCACCGTGTACCACTCTTATTTGACAAATGAGGTCTCAGTTCCTGTGATGAAACATGAGTCACCTTGTGTTTTCACTCAAGCTTCTGATACTTCCAAAACAAAACAGCCTTGGACACTACAGCTCACACATTGCTTTCTATTTAGTGGCCTTTAAGAAGATTATCAAATGCGTCATTAAGCTAAATCTGACAAACTTTGCAAAAAGAGTACAATATTAACTCACCTAATCCCCATTGATGCAATAGGTGCAGTGACAACATGTTTCTCAAGGACCGGGCTATAAACATTTCACAATGCAAAATGACTCCTGCCTGTCTATAGAGAAGATAATTATTTAATGACTTTCTCCAATAAATGCAGAACTTTTAAGAGACATCTCACACAAGACAATTTCTGCTGCTCCCAAGAGCTCGTTGGAAGCTGTATGACACCAAGAAGCTTGTCCCTCAAATTCAGGGTGGGAAGCAGTAAGAGGGTATCTCCAGCCCAACCCTGGACRCGTGTGGCTACACCCTCATTTCAGCCATTTGTTCAGCCTAACTGTGCAGGTCAGCGCTTGGCCATATAGGGGCCAAAACCAAATGCCGGGGAACTCCACCGATCTCTATTGCACTTTGATGTAACCACATACGATTCAAACACACGGCTCCTCGGCACGCTCAGTGTCGGGTGCTACATCACATATCAACTAGCCCGGAAAGTCTACCGTGTCACTCATCAGATGACAGCATTTACTTTTGGCATTTTCTCTGGCCAAAATATACTGTGCATTTCCCCCAAAAGAAGACAAGGACATTTTATGAAATTAAGGTTAAAATTATAAAGCCTTTGACTTATTCTGTTAAAAGACTTGTTTTGATACACAAAAGCTCTGCTTTTTTAGAGTCAAGTCAATTTAGGTCAAAATATGAAAACACCCTCTTTGCTTCTAAAGTCCTCACAGCTGGTCATTCCCACACACAGAAACTTAAATAACCTCTCAGAGCTGTAGCAGGGCTAAAGGAAAGTCCAGAAAAAAAAAAAAGAAAGAAAAAATAGATGAATTTGGATGTAAATGTCACACCCAGTGGAATTACAGGGAAATAAATAGTAATTTAGCAGCATTGGCAAGCTGCTCTTCTGACTTTGTAGCACCACCAGCATATTTTATATGTGTATCACAGTCACGAATAAGCCAGACACRTTCACAAATCAATTCTGACTTCCTTTTAAGCTACATGCTTATTTTCCTTCCCTCCACCCTTTGTAGCTAATAAGGAAAGCCAAGGAAATGCATTGATCTTCGTCTCCAGAACGAATGTTAACTCCGAATTCTCATAATTCTTCTAACACACTGGTAAAACTTCAGAAGAGAGAGGAAAAAGAGACATCC